AGGTTAAATATAAACAAGAGGTGCATGTCCAGTGGTATCAAGCGCCAGAGGCTGGTGTGAGGCGACAACCATCCCTTATATCATGTAAGACATTCGAAACGAATCTGAAATTCAGATTTACACGCCCAAAAGAGTGGCTATCCTATCTGTCAGGGAGAAATAATACATAGATGGTATCCCAGCTATCAGGGGAGAAATGAATAATAGGTGGTATCCCAGCTATCAGGGGAGAAACAATTGAGAGATGGTATCCCAGCTATCAGGGGAGAAACAACTGAGAGATAGTATCCCAGCTATCAAGGGAGGTATAAATAATAGATGGTATCCCAGCTATCAGGGGAGAAACAGCTGAAAGATGGTATCCCAACTATCAGGGGAGAAATAATTGAGAGATGGTATCCCCTCCATCGGGGGAGAAACAGTCGAAGATGGATGGTACACCATTTATCAGAAGACGGTGTGAGGATGTAGACGTCAACAATGCTAATACAGGTGATGACAATCCTAATGAATTACCGGTAGCAAGTATTCGAGAATCGGAATAAAACAATCAAAGACGTGCCATTCAACATTATATATAATCGAGAGGAAGTTGCGTTCTCGACATGGAAAAGAAGTTAGATGCACAAAGACCAAATAGCAGAGATACGTGAAAAAGTTCACGGGCACCGGGTCAAGACATCAGGATGCAGACGATCAAATACAAAACTACCGAAAGAATGGTGGAATGCCTGAAAGAGCAGGCGATCTAGGAAGCTACTTATAACAAATCCAGATATTACAATGAGACGAACAAATCGGTTAAGACAATGTGTTGAAGTGTTTCAGAAGGTGTTATTATTGCGTGGTGAATCGAGTAGACTTGTGAATTGTGCAGACACATTGAATTGGTTAATAGATAGATTCACAGTAAAGCACGTATTATACAGCCAAGGAAAATAAGACTAAGTATGTTATGCTGCGGAAGACCTGAGATGCTATTCCTGTTGCTGCACGAGGGAGAACAGAAATAATTTTACCCACTTCGATCCGATCCTATAAGTTACCGAAACCCCAGATCTACAGATTTATATTACAGTTAAATATATTATTATGGTACAAGGAATACAAGGACGAAAGTATGTGCGAGATAAGCGGAGGAAACGTTGACAGGCTACGAGCATCTTGGTGTTATGTATATGCGGTGACTAGAGCATCTGGCTTAAGAAATCAAAAGAAAAGTCAAACCATCAATGGTGATCAATAGATACGTTGGTTTAATTCGTTGAGATATATATGACGATAATGAACTTTCCATTAACGGTAAACGTAAAGATAAAGTCAGGGGAGTGTTCGCATATATATGTATTACATTCATGGTGTGTTGGTAGTGCGGTGGAAAATTCCAGTACGGAGGGAAAATTTTCCATCCTGTCTCGTCGAACCTTTCATTAAAATGAATTTATAGTTTATATATGTTTATCTTCTTGTATGAAATAAGGGTCTTGATAGAAATAATACATATCATATATTATAAGATATCTTCGATAGAGAAGTTTCCATAGAGGCTTAAATCAAGAGTATATCTATTTAAGACCAAATCTTAGTACGCGGGCAAACCTTTAGTTTGAGTCAAATTAATAGGTGCGAACACATTCTTAATTTTTTTTTTTTCATCAATTAATTCTAATTCTTCTTCCAATTCTTCTTCTTCTTCCTTCTTCTTCTTCTTAAAGTTAAAAAATTATAATTTTACATCAATGATGAAATTATTAACAGCATTTGCATTAATTACATCAATCTTCTATTTCTTCTTTAGTCAATTTGTATCTGCAGGTTCAACTGAACTTCCAGAAAATCCCCCAATTACCAACAAAGTTTTCTTTGATATTGAAGAAGATGGTAAACTGATTGGTAGAATCACCATTGGTTTATTTGGAACAATTGTTCCTAAAACAGTTGAAAATTTTAGACAATTGTCTACCTCAACTGATCCAAAATTTGGATATACTGGTTCTATTTTCCATCGGGTTATTCCTAAATTTATGATTCAAGGTGGTGATTATGAAACTGGTCAAGGTTATGGTGGTAAATCAATTTATGGTGGGAAATTTGAGGATGAAAATTTTCAATTGAAACATGATAGACCATATAGATTATCAATGGCTAATGCTGGTAAAAACACAAATGGTAGTCAATTTTTCATTACTACCGTGATTACTAAATGGTTAGATAATGCTCATGTTGTATTTGGTGAAGTTATTGACGGATTTGAAGTGATTGATTATATTGAAAAAGTCAAAACCAGTCGTGGTGATCGTCCAGTTAAGGAAATCAAGATTGCGTTATCTGGTGAAATTGAACTTGAACCAGAAGTCAAACAACAACAACAAGAAGAAACGATTGAAAAGATTCAAGATGAAAAGGTGATTAAAGATGAACTTTAAATTTTACTTTATTTCTTTTGTTAAGTATAATCTAATTAAGAATTATATATAATGTACAAGTTTTAATCCTCTTCAAGATTTACTTTGACCCCCAACATCTCAACTGTACTTCCCTTTCCATATAATGGAATATCATCAAGATAAACTTGCTTACTCTCATTATCATTTTCAATATTAAAACTAGGATTACCATTTATACTAGGTATCTTCTCGGTTACCGATTGAACAACAGTATTCAACAAATTGTCATAAGCACCACTAGTAATTTCAACATGAGAACTTACATTTACCAAATTATTTGAAACAGTACTTGCAGGAACTGCGCTAGTAGGTCCAGTAACAGGACCAGGTGTAGGCATGGGAATTGGAGTCATGGTATTCACCGCATTTGTATTTGAAACTGTCATTGATGCTGATTTCGGTTGAAGATTCAGATGATTTGTCATTAATGAGGATGATGTAATTGACATGGCATGGCTACTTACATTATGGATTGAATTATTATAAGAATGACCTCCATCCAGAATATGATAACTTGTCATTTCTCCAAGAAGATCAATTGAATTCCGTAATGATAATACACTAGCCAATAGTCTAGATGAGAGCACATCATATATCCTAGGTGCTTGATATACATTGGCTCCTATTATATAATAATCTTGTAATGTAAAAGTATTGGTTGGATCTAATCTTGTTTGTTTTCGTACAATCCAAAAATCAGGTTCTCGAGTATATGCAATCACAAATTCAATTCCAGTCATTTCTGAAAGTCTTGATTGGAAATATTGTTGGAAAGACATCCCTATTGGGATTTGGATTTGTTGATATTGAAATTGCATCATTAATACTTGATTATTTGATGTTCGATCATAAAATGGTGAAAGGGCAAAATATTCCAATACATTATTCGTATGTAATCCTCTCTCTTGAATGAATTCTGGTGACTTCCATTGTATTTCATCTAACGCTTCCATCTTATTGTTGATTTCGTATATATATATATCTATCTATATAGAATATCTATAGAGAAGTGATGTAAGGAGAACTTAACTTAACGGAAAAATTCTTTGGTATAAATTAATATTCCTGATTACGTAATCCATACAACAACTGTCAAAATTTATGTTCAATCTACATCTTCCAAGAATCGTTCAATCTCTTCTCTCAACCAATCAGCCTCCTTCTTCATCACCTCCTCACTCCTAGCACTCCTCTCTTCATCCTTCTTACTCAACGCATTGACACTTCCCAGTTCAATATATAACTTTTTCCTGGTTTCGAATTGTTGATATAATACCTCAAGATCATATTTCTCCAATTTCGTATATATACTATCCCCATATCCATCACTTGAATATCGGGGTATGATATGAGTATGTAAATGCGGCACCGACTGTCCCGATTCTGGTCCATCTTGAATGGCAATATTTAATGCATCGGCAGCATAAGTCCGTTGAATAAATTTATGAATTAGTTGTAGGGTATTCATATAATCAACGGATTCATCAGGGGTTAAATCCCCGAATCGTAATACGGTGGTTCGAAGCGGGACGATTAGTACATGTCCTGGGACTAATGGTTTTATATTCACTAATGCATATGTATATTTTGATTTATAAAATACTTGATGGGTTACTAAGAATTTATAAAAATAGATTTCGGTAGTTGATGCAGCAACTGTTGTTGCTGTAGTATTTAGTAAGGTTGTTCCTATTGACATTTTTTAATTCTGAAGTTTTCATGGAAGGACAAATGATGGTTTAAAAGAAATCTCAATCTCCTTCCCAACTCGTTGGTTGTTTTTATTTTTTCTTTTACCCCAAACCAGGATAAAATCGGATGACTTTTTCCGCATATTTTTCGATGAGATTTTGTAGGATTAAACCTAATAACGAGATACATTAACGTCCTTTATGATCCAACTCTACAAAAAAAACGGATCATGGTAATTTCAATGCATTGGAATGGAATTCTCAGACTATTGTCTCTGATTGGATAAAAATTTCCACATCAATTAATGGAACTTGGCTTTTTTTATCAAGTGAACCGTCACCTCATAGCTATTCAGGAAGGTTCTTCAAGAAAGGCATCCAATAACGTGTCGGCCAAGCAGTTTATGAAGAGAGATTAAAGTAAATTGAAGATAAAAAAACAAAAAAAAACGTATTTCAATTCATTCGGAAACTCATTCCGATACCGTAGAAAAGCCTTCCACGGGTAACATGGTTTCCCAGCCTAACGTGGGCAAATGTTCTTAGTAAAACTAATTACCAAATCATTGTTCTATAAATAATACATTTCTATTATAATTATAAATCTAGCAAAAGATATACTGACAAAAAGAGATAAACATAAGTTAAAGCTATATACGGATTTGAAAACTTAATTGACTTTGGTGAAGTATTCTTTAGAAGATTCAACTTCTGGCTTAATGGTTTCAGCACCTGGTTGCCAATTGGCAGGACAAACTTCTCCATACTTTTCAGTGAATTGGAAAGCTTCCAATAATCTTAAAGATTCATCAACAGATCTACCAACTGGTAAATCATTAATGGTAATTTGTCTCAAGTTACCCTTTGGATCAATTAAAAAGATACCTCTTAAAGCAACACCTTCTTCTGGAATCAAGACACCGTAATCTTTAGATAAAGAGTGATTAGTATCAGCAACTAATGGAATGTTAATTGGACCTAAACCACCATCTTTTCTAGCAACATTAGTCCAAGCTAATAAAGAATATTCAGAATCAGTAGAAGCGAATAAAACTTCACAATCTCTTTCTTTGAATTTTTGAACAGCTTCAGAATAAGCAATGATTTCAGTTGGACAAACAAAGGTGAAAGCTAATGGAATAAAAGCTAAAAGAACCCATTTACCTTTATACTGTTCTAAAGAAACTTCTTCAAAGACACCATCAATAACGGCGGTTTTCTTGAAAGATGGGGCTGGCTTTTGGATAGTTGGAGACATTATTGTTTATTACTGATCTGTGATATTGAATTGAATTGGAAATTGAAACAAGAAGGAAAAGGAAAGGAAAAAGAAGGAAAAAGAAAAAATAGAATAACGGAATTCAATGGTCAATTTATAGTTTTTCTTTTTTCATCATCGTTTTCTCTTTAAGTTTCGCGTATAATAATCTGATTTCCATTATTTTTTAATTGAGAAGAAAGAAACTGAAAAATTCGAAAAAAATCTCGAAACATTTTTAATTTAAAAAATTTTATGAGAAAGAAAGTCTAGAAGGTCCGCTTTATTACTAAAACAAGTAAGCAACTATAAATACACAAAAATGAAACCCACAGTAAAAAACTACACTACCGCGACATTTAACAAGCATATTACATAAATTTATATGAACACGAGATCTCTTTATATAAGCTTAGTAATTAGCCAATGACAATCCCGATTCGGTTTATTACAAATCAAAAAGCTATCTTTTGTCTCAGTTATACATATAATCATAGAAACGGGCTTTGGGTATGACTTTTCAAAAGGGCAACTTACAGATTATCAACATCTCATCATCATCGCAAGTAGTAAACCACAACCCGTCGTTCCCATCGGTGAAAAAATGTCGTTCGTTCTCGGTGCATTGTCGGTGTGGCCACCGTTTGCGACATTTCTCAAACGCCACAGTTTGGGTTTGTGTCATATGCCGTTTCTCGGAGATCCTCCGAAATGATTATGGGACGAACAGACTGGACCAATTGACGATGGATGTTTTCGTTAGAGTGATTGGATTGAGGAACGACATAAATAGGAACACAGTTGGAATACTATAAACAACTAAACTTACTCATCATTTCCACAATAAAACTACATTCTATTAGGTATACTTACAACAAATCTACATATCTAAGTACGCTTTTTCTTCACTCTATCCCAAACACTACCGGGCTTCCTTTTTCTGGAAGTAGTAGAACTTATTGATCTATCATTATTAAATATCGACCAATCTTCCCCAGCAAATTGATTAGCCATGTCTCTTTGTTTTTGTTTAAATGATTTCTTAGTTTGATTCTGAGGTAATCTAATAAAGTTACTTTCCTCATATGTTTGGATTTCTCTTTCCTTATTACGATCATGTTGAGTCTTAACACCTCCTCTACCATGATCCACAATAGTTGAACCAATGGAAGCTTCCAAACTTGGCATATCTGATTGTTCATTAAGATATTCTTCCATACTTTGTAATTTACGATTCTTGTTGGATTTGTCTTTAGCATCAATATCTCTAATTGCCAGAGGTGGAGCCATGGCAGAAATCTTAGGTGGTTTATATTTCTCGTTAGATTCTGTAGTGAGTGCGGATGTGGATTTCGTTTTGGTTGATTTAGGTGCCAATTTAGCCAAAGCGGCAGCATCTGGTCTATATGCCAAATTATCATCCTCTGATTCTTCATCTTCACTATTATCACCTTCTTCTTCTTCATCTTCGTCATCTTCGCTTCCAGATTTATGATGTAATTTTTCTTCAATCTTGGCTTCATCAGCTTCCATTCTTCCATATGCACGAACCATCTTATCCAACTGATAATTTATCTTCTTTTCTAATGGTTTCACCCCTTTTTCAAGACAGACACGTTGAACAATTGTTCGTTTAATGGCTTCCAATCGATGCTTTTCCCCATTCTCTTCTTCATCCTGAGAAATTCTCTCAATTTGTCCTAAAACTACCAAAGCAAGATTAGTAACATATGAAGCTAATGCTTGGTTCTTTAATGACAATAATGAAACCCCTTCGATTTGTTTCGTTCCTGTCTTGGATAACAATGTGTCGATTAGTTCTGGATGAGTTTTGGTTGTTGATTTTGTAGTTTGGATTAATTCTTCTACTGATGTTTTGGTAGCGTTTATGGATGTTATTATCTCGTTCAAAAGTTTATCTACGTCTGCCATTATTGATGTGTGTGGTTGTTGGGCTGTATATATGATGAGTTTGTAGTTAAAAAAATTTGACTTAAAGAAAAAGATTTATGAGATGGATTCGATGGGATAAAAAAATATTACGTAAGAACTGGTTGATCCTTACGTAATACTCATTTTTATTTTTGATTTCTTTTTTGTTTTGTTAAAAAATTATGCGAAGAGATTAAAGAAAATTATTTCACTTCTAATTCAACTTCTAATTAGATCATTAGCAATAGACCATTTATAGAAAAACATAGAATAATCTTTAATCATGCCTCAAAACGAATATATCGAACAGCACATAAAACAACATGGTAGACGATTAGACCACGAAGAAAGAAAACGTAAGAAGGAAGCCAGAGAAGGTCATCGAATTGCTAAAGATGCTCAAACCTTAAAGGGATGGAAGGGTAAACAATTCGCCAAGAAGAGATATAGTGAAAAGGTAGCCATGAAGAAGAAGATCAAGGCTCATCAAGAATCTAAAATCAAAGGTCCTTCTACTCCAAAAGTTGATGATGGTGAAGCTTTACCTACATATTTATTGGATCGTCAAACTGGAAATACTGCAAAAGCTATTAGTTCAAGTATTAAACAAAAAAGATTGGAAAAGGCAGATAAATATTCAGTTCCATTACCTAAAGTTAGGGGTATTTCTGAAGAAGAAATGTTTAAGGTTATTAAAACCGGTAAATCAAAGACTAAATCTTGGAAGAGAATGATTACAAAACATACTTTTGTAGGAGAAGGTTTCACTCGTAGACCAGTCAAGATGGAAAGAATTATTCGTCCTGCAGCATTAAGACAGAAGAAGGCTAATGTGACTCATCCGGAATTGGGTGTGACTGTTTTCTTACCTATTTTGGGTGTGAAGAAGAATCCTCAATCACCAATGTATACACAATTAGGGGTTTTAACTAAAGGTACAATCATAGAAGTTAATGTCTCTGAATTGGGATTGGTTACTGCTGGTGGGAAAGTTGTTTGGGGTAAATATGCACAAATCACAAATGAACCTGATAGAGATGGATGTGTAAATGCTGTTTTGTTGGTATAAAAATCTTTTATAAATATTATAATTCTACATATATTCTGTACATTAATTATACAATCTTTTTTTAGTCATTAAATTCGTTATCAAATAAATCAAGGCATAATATATTCTTCTTTCCAATTGATCTAAACCCACAATTCAATATCAATTTGGCATTTTCACGAATAATTTCCCATTGACTAGTCATTAATTTCGTTCCTATTAAAAAGCAAAGACCACTAATATTTTGTTTATTAGAAATCTGGGGTAGCAAATCACAGTATTTAGCCAACATTTCATTAGCAGATATCTTTGTATTTTCATCTGAACTTTTCAAACTATGTAAGTTGAATTGTTTATGGAGATTAAATTTCCTCAAATTAGTTAAAAACTCTTGTCTAACCCGATTTAAATATTGATATCCATCTTCGGCACAATATTGTCTCAATTCAGAATATTGCTTTTGATTCAACCGGACTTGTGTCAGATACATCACATCTTCATCATCTTCTTCAGTTTCCTTCTCAATCTCACCAAATCTCTCACTCTCCCGGCCACACTTCGTAAAACAATAACACCACAATACCAATGTCGCAATCGAAATCGCATACATACAATCATAATAATCTGCATTACTATTCCAATTCAAAAACCCGCCTTGATTAACACTCAACCCATCATGATCATCTGGATCTACGGGGCTTAACATCAATTGCCATAATAACAAATAACAATGCACAACACTTCTTAGATTAGTTAATTCATTTATATTCTTATTCTTATGATGACTGATATTCCCACCCCAAATATTCGACAATTTTCTCTGGACGATATAATGATCTTTCATGGTGGCCCTCACACTTTGATTTGCCGGGGATCCACCAAAGATGGCAATATCGTAATGATTTATATCGGATAACCCGATGATTTGCACTAGGTAATACATCGGTAATGGTACTTCTAAATTATGTAAATCATTATAGATGGATATTTTGGAGTTGGATAAGTTGGAATGATTGCTATAATAATATTGCATAATGGAATAGTTCCAATTATCAAATGCTTTTATCAAGATTTCTTTCCAGACTTTAGATTTGTTGGTGGTGATGATTCCATTGGATGTAAGAAGTGAAGAACTATTTTGAAGATCTGTTTGTTGCATTTGATATAAAATAGACACTAAACCGGCTAAAAGGATCTTACGAGTGAATATTGATAATTTGGATTGGATTTTAAAATCAGAATCTTTATATGGTTTAAGTAATTTTTTTAATACATTTAAAAAACTTTCACCATTCCTAATTTTAATTGATGTATTTGATTGACTATTAAGTTTCTTTAAATCTGATTGAAGCTTCTTTTGACGTTTTACCAATTTTTTAAAACTTCCATTTATTTCTTTTGATTCCCATAAATATTCATCATCACAAGGTAAATTCAATAATTGTAATTGATAAAACATAATCGCCGGATTATGTCTAAATTTCACATAATCAATAATATCAACATAAAATATCATAAACGTGATTCTCTTCATACTTTCACTATCTCTCCATTTCCAAAACAATTCGGCATCCGAATTCTTTTCCATCTCTTTCGGATCCACAACCTCCACCACCCCTTCCATATCCTCTTCCCCGGCACTCGTATTCGATCCACTACCAGCATTGCTCCTCCCTCCATTTCTCCCACCCTTCATAACCGCGGGATTTCCACCCAAGGCCGGAGACCGACGTAATAATTGCACCATGGTTCCATGATGGACATGTCCCCGTTCATGCATTCTCCGATTAAGGAAATTCTTCTCAATCCATTCCAACATCGCCAAACTCTGCAATATCCAGACCTGAACTGGTGATTTGAATTCATCATGTTGAAAAATCGCAAATCGGAGTGGTTTACTAATGAGCAAGGTGAATTTGAATTCGGGTGATTTTTGGTGGGTTTGTCCAAGTGATTCGGCAATATCGGGACAACTATAAACCGAACCGATGAGAATCATGGAGATGACTAATAATGGATCACAATCTTTTGTATCAAATGATGGTCGATGGAGGATCATGAATTGTGGATGGAAGATGGTCCAGTAGATTGAGATATAGTAAGATAATCGATCTTCGATTGTATATCTGTCGGTTTCTGGTTTGAATATTTCCGAAATCATTTCTCGAGATATGGACCCCCCAAGACATTTTAGAATTGAATCTAAAAGAAGACAATCTATAAAATAATGGGGATTTTTTTCAAGATTACATTTCTCAGCATGATGAATTAATTTAGCTTCAAATGGATCTAGACCATTTTCCACATCTGGACAATAATAGGGAGACGTATTTGATTCATTCGTGTTTGTTGGCGAAGTCGATGATGCGGTATTTAGACTAAGATATGAAGCATATTGCGCTCGAGCTAAATTATTATTATTACCACCACCACTATCTTGTCCCAGTTGTTGTTGACCAGGTGGCATCAAATTCCCCCTTGGATCAGAAGGTAAGGCAGCCCTTAAAAAGATTTCATCAAGTGGATTATCATCATTTTGGAATATATTCACATCTTGAAATCCATAGTTTCCTGATATACTATTATTATTAAACCCCGGATCGACAGGGAAATTGCTTGGATTCAGAAGTTGCGTTTGCATGAATTGAGATTCTGTATATGGTGTAGGAAATCCCAATGGTGTTGGTGGAAGCATGCCTGGAGTACGACCCAAAAATTGTTGCAGTGGAGGAGGAGGTAGTCGTGGCGATGCAGCTGGCGCAGGTTGAACCGTTTGAGGAAGCACTGGCTGTGGTGGTGGTGGTTGTTGGAAACCTGAATCTGACTTTTCGGATTTCGTTGGATTAGGTGGTGAATCAGTGAATAACCAAGACAAAATATCATTCTGGGTTTGACCAGTGGGAGCTCCATATGCCTTATACAAATCATTCAAGTTTTGAGATTGGTTAAATGGCAGTTGTTCTTGAACAGGGTACATTTGAAATTGCGAAAGCGGGGTTGGCTGTCTCTGATGAGAAGCTGTTGGTTGTGCAGGGAATAAATGATTAATTGGCTGATTGGGATAAGTTTGTTGAGGTGGAACATGTTGTTGTGGCATCTCGGGTATTTGTGGTTGTGGAGGTACGGATGACATTGACCCAATGGGACTTGGTTCAATTATATGAGGGGTAGAATGTAGTGAACTAGTAGCAGAATGCATAGGAGGTGGATGTGATAATGGACCCATCATTGCTGGTGGTTGTCGTGGTTGTGGCTGTGGTTGGGGTGGTATTATTTGTATTAGATTAGGATCCATCTTTGCACGATGACTAGGATATTGTAAGTCATTCACTTCTTCGACCGTCAGGGGCTTTTCATCACCGGTGAATTCCAGATCACGACGAATTGTTCTCCCAATAGAATCACTACTGCTTGAGGCCATACCACTAGTTCCCATAGTAGATATAGTCATCATACCTTCCTCATCAGTCTCGCTATTTTGTCGCAGCAGATGACCATCACCCATCTCTAAATGACGTCTATAATGTCGTTCTTTCAAATCCTTCCTAACAAATGTCTTGGAACATATTTTACCATTTGAAAGTTGGAATTCACAAGTAAAAACTTCTTTTGGTTCATGATTCAAATTATGTCTTGCTAAATGATCTGAACGACTAAATACTTTATCACAATGTTGACAGGGGAAAGTGCCAAGGGTTCTCTTTTTCTTTCTTGGTGGAGGTCGTGTCGACGATCTCGATTCATCTATGCTTGTTGATTGTTGGGCCATTGTTTCTAAAGCACACGCTTGTCGTATCTAAGTGATATAAACTTGCTTAGAGATAATTGGGGATTGTTTGGTTGTAAAAAAAAAAAATGGCAACCCTTTGTTTTTTCAAAAAGGGTTTGATAGTTACGATTAAGTTTTTTTTTGTTTTAGATTCCTTTGTCTGTCTGAAATGTCAGGATGGATAAAATTTTGTGTCTGGGGATTTATAAAAATTTGTAAGACACAGGAAAAATGTCGATGTGGCAAGTGTTATTTCCCAAAAACAAAAAATAATTGTCGGACAAATGTCGTGACTCTGTGTTCTTTGTTCTCTGCATAACTACAAAAGGGTTTAAAGAATCGCGAATTATAATTAAGGCTCATAAAGTACGAAAAAGTTAAGATTTACACGTATGAGACACAAGGTAACATCCTAGTTGTAGTATGCAAAATGAGATATAGACTATAGATACTTGATAGAGACTTTCATCAATGTTCTAAGACTACTCTAGAAAATCATCAAAGAAAACACTGTATCTAATTACAAATGGGTGCAAAAAACACAAAATCTAGAAAATGGTATCAAAAATGTTTCTATTGTAAAATCCAAAAATAAATAAAACTATATAAACTTCTCACATCAATTCTTGAACAAACTTATTATAAATGACTTGATCTACCGGTAGACATCTATTTACCTTTATCACATTAATATCATCACTAAATCTTAATTGTTTCTTTATATGGGATAATTCCAATGAAATATCATCAATTATATCATTCATTTGTCTTGGTATTCTTTTAGGAGAAATGATTGGTTTCTTTCTATCTAATCGGTAAGATTCATTGCTTTCTAGTGCTACTAACTTACGTGGTTGCTCTTGTATTTCTTCTTGTTCTTGTTCATTATCATCGTCATCGTCATCATCGTCATCATATTGTTCATTCATGATATCTTTGGTGAAATAATATTTAAACCGAAAGAAATTTATTATGAATGCATTCAACACTAAAGAATCATCATCATTGAAATAAATATCAAAGAAATAATCTTGATCATAATATCGATAATTCTTAACATTTAATTTCCAAATTTTATAATATTTATTATAAAGCTTGGGATTTACTTCAGGACAATTTTCGTTAAGATTAATGATATTATGGAAATAATCAACTAATCCTTCAATTTTCATTTCTTCATATTTTTCAACAAATAATTCTCGTAGTTTATCAATAATTATCAGTTTATATTGTTTATGAAGAACTTTTTCGTAAACTTGATCGGCATCAATATCACCAAATGATTCAAAGAAATAATTAACAACATAATTTCTAATTTCATCAAATTTTTCATCATGAACAACTGATGAAAATTCATGTTCAATATAATGAAATAATTTATTTTTGGCTAAATAATATAATTGATTTGAATTATGGGAAGCTTTATTATTAGAATGATGATTATCATTCTTATTATGTTTTAATGAAGGTTTAGGTGGATCAACAGGACAAATGATTGGACTTGGTGGAATATGGAAATCTTCTTCTTCAGTAGCTATAAGATCTTTATCTATATAATCCATGACGTCATCTTGTATGCTTGAGTTTTCAGACAGACACAGACAAGAATCACAATCACTACAATCATAATCACAGTCACCACCACCACAACCATCATCATCATCTATTAGTTGTTCATTATTATTATAATCATCATCGTATGAATTGTCTGTATTTGCAATTGCTAAAAAAATAGTTAAATTTAATTGTTGTTTAATAAGTGTGGGAGTATCTAATAAATGTGGATTATCACATTGATTAAATGGGAATCGTGTATACATCGTGTGTTTGTATGTTTATGGGTGTTATCTATATATATATGTTATATGGCTAGTATCATTACTTGATGATAGAAGAAGAAGAAGAAGAAGAAAGCAAGGGAGTAATAAATATTTCATGGAATTGTCGTTGCATTAAGAATTAAATAAATATTTAAATTCTTTTTTTTATTTTTTATTTTTTTATGCATCTTTATTTTTTTTTTAACAAGAAATAGAAATTTTGGGGGAAAATCAAAGAAATTATTTTCTCTTCGGATTTTTTGGACCCACGGGGGGATTGAGTCACGGGATCAACTGTTACAGCACAACTGGTGATATTTCTTAGTAACATCACACCAAACCAACCAAACTGTCACGTGGGTAGGGTTTACTTACACTTCCAATTTATTCCGTCTTCTTTTTCACTAGTTTGAAGTGGGTTTTAATGGAAATGTGTGAATGTGTGAATGCGTACATGTCGTAAACTGAAATTGTAATTTTTCCGAACCTTTTCGCTACCGTCGGAGCAACGCAAAAAAGTGTACGGGGGGATCATTCGATTTGGGTTTTCTTTTTCTCATCAAATATTTTTCAGTCATATGTAAGTAATATGAGGTGTAATCTTACAGTAACGTAGATTTTGGCGATTTATATCCATGTGTACAGAATACATGATCTACAAGACTGTTTTATTTTTAGGGTGATGTAAATATTGATTTATTTATTTATTTATTATGTATTATTAGGTTTTAAACATTCATTTGGTTTTAATTTATTTGATTGGTTAGAAATTCATAAAGTCTTTATTTTAAATTGCTCTGCATAATCTCTAATAGTTATTAATTTATTATTATTCTGTTAAAATTTTCATGAAACAGGTGACTTATCACCACAACCTCATCGCACGAGTCCCAAGGCGGGATCCATCCCTTTGTCAAGAATATAGTCAAACGATTATTGAACAAAACTTCATTTTGATCATTTAATCCAGAAAAAAACAAGTAAAGAAATCAATCACCAATTTGAACTCAGAATGTAGAATGTAAGTTCACCTAAATTTTTAAGGTTTATCGAAATTACTTCTCCACTTTTTCTTGCGGGAATATCGTAGCGTAGAGATGATAAAGTAGCCAAGCGCGATGTTTTACAGAATTGGTATCATTTACGTCCCCCCAACAAACTTCGCGTCCGTAGGTAACTACTGTATTATCCTTCAATCATATAACCCTTTCAAAAGACCACTTCCCCCTTTGGGTAAGGATTCTTAAGAATCCTTCCAGCCCCCCGAAGTCATCAAATGGTTTGTGGGCTGATTATGCTTTTTCATACAGACAAATATCATATCCTTGTGGCTTGTATTTGTATGAGCCCGTTCACAAAATCTCACACATTGGGATACAACAATAACAACAAGTATGGGGTCATTTACGATAAATGATAGCGATAAGGAAAAAGCAAAGTTCTAGAACTCGTCTAAGTGATGTGAGTGAACAAAGAATTAGTACATGACAATTTTTTTGCGATAAATTAGACAACGTGCGTACACTTTCGTCGTGAATTATGGGGTAGGCGCGGCTGGGGTAATCTCATAAAAGTTCTTTATTCTCGGTGTTTAGAAGCAAGAACGTAATCAACAGCTTTTTATCCATAATGGTGACAATGTAGTTGTTGTTGTCACATGTGAACGAGTGGGAGTAGGTACAAGTAATTAGTGTTTGTCTTATCAGTTTTGATCATATTTCTAAACAACCATATTTGCGTTTTGCATCCTTAATAGCGGTGACTGATATGGATATGCCTCTTCGAGCATTACCGGACTTGTCTTTCATACGCGAGGATATCATTCTGCTTATTGTCTTTGCTCTCTTGATCGATGCTTCGTACTGTTGCTTAACCTGCCGTTCTTGGCTTGGTAGCAACGAATGTACAATGTCTGAAAAAGTAAGTATTCCAAAACTACTCTTTGGAAATCGATATACTTTGAAACAGTGACTATAACCGAAGTAGAGATTACAAACAATTCCCATTCCAAAGATCTTTCCAGTTGTTCGAAAACATATCGTTGAAACTCCGTATATTTAGTTAAGAGTTTTCGCAATTTTTTTTTTGCTGCAATTTCGCAAAAAATGCTTGATTCTCCGAAAGCAAGCAGCTAATCAATAAAATTAAAAATATTGACTTCGGAAGAACGGCAAATGAATGGCAGCAACCAGTTCGGAATAGAGCCAGAGAAGTTACGGTCATGCAAATGGTATCAGGGTTGTATTAGTGTCCGCTATCTAGGCTATGACCTATACAAAATACAAAACAGAAACAAAAAAAAAGAAAAATCTAAAAATAGCATTTGACAACAAGTCAAATAGCTGTAACAAAACTTATACCAAGATTTATCAACCAGATTTTGAAGACCAATACTTACTTACAACGATTCTCCAAAAATAGAAACTCATGTATTCAACTATGATAACCTCTTATTCTTGTTATATACTCGTGTGAGTCACATATATTCTCAAGTCGTACAATGTTGATACGCGTTTCGAATATCCCCTAGACACGTCAAAGCCTTGCGTCCATTGTTGCACAAAAAAAAAAAAGAAATTTTCATACATTTCCAGTATTAAAAAAAAAAATTAACACATAAATTCAATAACCTTCCCCCTTCATTCTTCTTTCATTTCCTCTTCAGCAACCCACGTTCGTTTTCTAATCAGTCTAGATTGAAATACCACAGCCGTTTCATAACAAAGAAATAGAAAAGAAAAGAGTGAAAAGAATAATACACGATAAGATGGTCCCAGCAAGAAATTTTCGTGTCATATTGACCATTGTTATCTTGATAGGTATAGTCACCTTCATGTTCGGCACCAAGGACACCCTCGGCACCCAGATCCAAAGAATAAAACCCGCAGCTAATGAACAAATCGGGGTGATTCAAGATGCAGTCATGAATAAATTCTCACCCAGTAATTTGAATCAGGATGAATCACCTTCATTAGATGAAGAAGATGTTCCAGGAAGTATCGATGATGATGCTGATTATGGGGAAGCAAAACAAGAGGACGAGAAGAAGAAGGTGGTTGGAGATGAGGATGATGAAAGAGTTGTTAAGCCTAAGAAATATGGAACGACGAATTCTGATGGTGGAAAATCGATCAAGGCAGATTTATCCAATAGTGTCAAGGCTGGTGAGAAAGCACTTCCAAAACAACCTGTCGCCACTGCTGGTGCCGCCGCTGCTGGCGCTGCTGGCGCCGCCGGTGCCGCCACTACTCCTAAATCCGATTGCAACGATATCGAATACGTAGTCATGATCGATGCCGGCTCCACAGGCTCTCGTGTCCACGTATATGAATTCGACACCTGTGTCCAACCACCCCAATTAATCTCGGAATTATTCGAAGCCATCAAACCAGGATTAAGTTCATTCGATACCGATACCGTCGGGGCCGCAAAATCATTAGATCCATTATTGAAAAAAGCAATGGCTAAAGTCCCAACCGCAAAACAAAAATGTACTCCTGTTGCTGTGAAAGCTACTGCTGGATTAAGATTATTAGGGGATGAAAAATCAGGGGCGATTTTGGAAGAGGTTAGACGTCATTTGAGTGATGATTATCCGTTTGCGGTTGTGCCTGAAGATGGAATTAGTATTATGGATGGAAGAGATGAGGGTGTCTATGCATGGATTACTGCGAATTATTTGTTGGGAAATATTGGTGGTGGGTCGAGTAAATTGCCAACTGCTGCTGTTTTTGATTTAGGTGGTGGATCTACTCAGATTGTATTTGAACCTGATTCAAATACGATTATTCCTGAAGGTGAACAAAAATATAAATTCACCTTCGGACAACATGATTTCACGTTATATCAATACAGTCATCTCGGATATGGATTAATGCAAGGTCGTAACAAGATCAACCAAGCTATCTTAACCCAACAAACCAAAGGATTAGAATTAACCAAATATACCAAACAACAACTCAAATCCCTCGAATCAACCCCACAAGCCACCATCGACATCATCAACCCATGCGTGCCCCCAGGATCCACCATCAAAAACGTTCAAATCGAAGTGTCATCCTCCGAAATCTATATTGTCAACATGAAAGCCCTCCTCGAACCTTCCGGAACCCAATGTCGTGCAATTGCAGAACAAGTCTTGAACAAACAACTCGAATGTAAAGTCAAACCATGTTCATTCAACGGGATTCATCAACCATCACTCACGAAAACATTCCCAATTGAATCAGATATGTATATTTTTTCATATTTCTATGACAGGACATTCCCAATTGGGATGCCAACATCATTCACCGTGGAAGAATTGAAAGATATGACTCAAAAAGTATGTAAAGGCACCACCAGTTGGGATGGGTCATTTTTTGGATCACAAGTAGATGAATTGAAGGAAGAACCATATTGGTGTAGTGATTTATCATTCATTACGGCGATGTTACATACTGGTTATGATATTCCGTTGAAGAGAGAGTTGAAGACGGCAAGGACTATTGAAGGGAATGAGTTGGGTTGGTGTCTTGGTGCATCGTTGCCTTTGTTGGATAAGACTAACAAGAAGTGGAAATGTAGAATTGAGAAAATTGATAGTTAGTTAATTAATTAGGTTGATTTTTTTAGAAGTGTTTTTACTGGTCTCTTAATAGACATTTTTATTGTGACTTGTTGATTGTCTCTTGTAAGTTAACAGTTTGAGCAGCATCTGGGAAAGGATAATTGTGTTTACAATGATCAACCGTAAATAAAAGAGGTGTGTACTATTACTTTCCAAGTAAGTACCTATTCGAATACCAAGAAAAACATTAATTCATATTACGCAGATGTCAATGACTCTAGACTCATGGGCCCTTAATGAGAAGGACAACAAAGCTTATTACTAGGGGTGCAAAAATAGCTTATTTCCAGCACTAGAAATATGCACTGTTCAATGACTTGTATGTTTACCTTCATAACTAATTATAATCTTTATTGACAATTGAGATCTTATTATATTGTCAGATCCATAACGGCCCCAACCCCCTTTATTTCAGAGTTTTGATTTCTAACACGTTGGAGATGACATAAACCTTCCCCCCCGGGTGATTTCATTATTCATTTGCTTAGAGTATTTGCTTAGTATTTGCGTTTGTAAAATGGGCGGGGTGTAATACCGAAATCAATACAAATTCGGTAATTCCGAAATAAAATATTTATATTTCAGTGGGGGTGATTTAATTTATCGGAATTTCCGTCGCTAAGCCAAAATAATAAGGAGAAATAAAAAAATTTGGTGATGAGAAAAATAAATTTTAATCATTTTTCGGAGTTTCTTTTTAGGTACGACATTGGTGGAATTATTGGCCGGGGTAAGCGTGTGTGGTGTGTGTCATTGATTAGTCCTATACTTCCGGAACTGGAATTACTTTGACCCTCTCCGCATGTTGATGTTGAAGTATGTCTTGTCTTGCTGGAAGTCAATTCAGAGATCTAGACTAAAGCAAGGCAGAGTAAGGAGTCAGGTACATAAACTAGTAATTGACGGGATTTAAATGTCCGATGGTTTATAGTTTAAGAAAAAAATGTAACTTAAACTTTTGACTAAAAATGTAATTACCAATCATTATAAGTTTATGGTAAATGTAGATATGAATAAGGGGATTTTAATTGTTGTGTAAATCCGTTGATGATTTCTTTTATATTTAAAACAATCTATATATTTCCCTCTTCTTCTTTTGATGGTTGATTTTAAAAATATAAAGAGTACACAAAAAGCACAAAGAGAATAAGTTACAGCTAAGCGTGGTTATTACAATTACGTAGAGAAATATAAATAGCCAAAGGAATCCCACATCAGTTCTTCTACTAGAAACAGGTTGTCTAATTGTCTTTATCTAATTTATCATTTTGTCATCGTACATACAAATTAAAAAAAGTTGATTCGTACCGACCTTACTTACAAATAATACGGAAAAATAAATTTTGATTAATTTTTTACCACACCAGAAGAAAATTTCAATCAATCAGAAATTTATAAAAATCGATGTCGGCTTTCATTTCTGTTTCACCAAGATCTACTACCACTACTACTACCACTAGCATCCACAATAATAATTACAATAGAAGTCTAGCAAATAATAGAAAGATATATAATTATAGATTTGCAAGAAACCACACATCCACAGATTGTAAGAACATTCCAGAAGATTGCATCATGTCACAAGATCCACAACAACATCCCTTTCCAGACACTGATAAAGAACCAAGACAGGTCGCCCCCATTCATTCTCAGTTGACAGCACAAATTAATAGATCATCCGCTTTAAATAATACCAAACCAAAATCACATCTTAATATAGAAGATAGATCAAGTTCAACTGAAAGTACTACCAGTACTTCTTCAGAATCTTCTTCAAATGGTTCTCAAATATTAATGAAACCTATTCATCAAGCAATTTCCACCAATTCACAAACTGCACCTCACCCAATCCTACAACCACTGCCATACCATCTAGCCTCACTCAACACAAACCATCACAATAACCATTATCACAACAATAACAATAATAATACAACTCCCACAACAAGTTCATATCGTCGTAAACATAGTATCAAGAAATTTTCTACCGCTAGAACAAGTACTTCTTCAAGTATGAGTAGTTCACCAAATTTCTTAGATCGTGAAGAACCAAAAATTCATTCAAAATTATATTGTGAAGAAGTAAACCCGCTCAAACAATTCACATCTCCAACATCTTCCAAGAATCCAGCTAAAGAAGCTTTATGTAAACTAAGTTCTGATGATTTGCGTTCAGTTCGATCTCATACTGAATTGGCAGAAACTGCAAATGGGGTTAGAATGTTAGCCAAGAATTTATTAAAAGCTACTATTCAATTAGATGTTAAAGCAATTATGATTGTTACAAAAGCAAGAGATAATTCATTAATTTATTTAACAAGAGAAATTGTGGAATGGTTATTAAGTAAAAACAGAGATATAACAGTATATGTTGATGCCAAATTACAAAATTCCAAACGATTCAATACTCCCGATATTATCAATAAATTCCCCAAAGCTAGCACTTTTTTAAATTTTTGGACCAAAAAACTCGCATTAAGATCTCCGGAAATATTCGATCTAGTAGTCACATTAGGTGGGGATGGTACTGTCCTCTACGTCTCCAATCTATTCCAACGAGTCGTCCCGCCAGTCATTTCATTCGCTTTGGGGTCGCTTGGATTCCTTACCAATTTCCAATTTGACGAATTCAGAGAACGAATGACCCATTGTATCGAAGCAGGAGTCAAAGCCAACCTTCGGATGAGATTCACTTGTCGTGTTCATGACGCCCTGGGGAAACTTATTTGTGAACAACAAGTCCTAAATGAATTAGTCGTCGACCGAGGTCCTTCGCCCTATGTCACCAATTTGGAATTATTTGGAGATGGATCACTCTTGACGGTAGCACAAGCTGATGGATTAATCATTGCTACTCCAACGGGATCAACTGCCTATTCTTTATCTGCTGGTGGATCACTCGTTCATCCTGGTGTGAGTGCCATTAGTGTCACTCCAATTTGTCCGCATACTTTATCATTCAGACCGATTTTATTACCCGATGGGATGTTTTTGAAGGTGAAAGTCCCCGATACTAGTCGTTCTACAGCTTGGGCGTCATTTGATGGGAAAGTAAGGACAGAATTACATAAGGGGTATTATGTCACGATTCAAGCTTCACCATTCCCATTCCCAACGGTAACTTCATCAAAAACTGAATATATCGATTCGGTTAGTCGGAATTTACATTGGAATGTTAGAGAAGCTCAAAAACCGTTTAGTTCTTATCTTACACCTGAGAATCAAAAAATGTTAAGACAAAGTTCAAATACTTTACCTGAATTGGATAATTTACATATTGAAGAAAAATATGATATAAATTATAGTGAAGATGAAAACGAGGATGATAATGATGATGATCAAGAGGTAACACCAGGTGTGAATCAGAATGAGAATACTACTAGTAATTCTACAAGTGAGGAAGAAGGGGATGTTGAATATTATATCCCACCTGGAGATGGGATCCTGACACCGATGAATATGAGTTATAATTCGGTGGATGATCGTTGTTGTTATGCGCATCCCCATGCACGTATTCATTTGAATGGACAGAGATATTAGGATAGTAGCTTAAGATACTGAAGATACTGGGATTGGATTTGGGTATATTATTGGATAGGATGGATGCTTTTTGGTTTATGACTGTTTAGGTGGTTTTGTTGATTTTTAATAGTGCTAGCTACGTAGTGCTTTTATGCATATTGATTATGTTTAGTTTTTACATAAATAATGATAATACATACAAATAAATATTAAGAATATTAAGATACGGGTATTTAGGCATTCAATTTTACAACCATCTCTGGAATACTGATGAATAAATGACTGATATGAAGATAGTAAAAATAAAGTGTAGATTTTTCAAGTTCTAATTTTGGTAAGGAGCTTATTGTCTTTTCGCCAATCATCAATTACGTAATAGTTTCTATGCGAAGAGAAGTGACACTATGCCAGAAGGACCTTTCTATCAGGTTGGAAATATGCAATGGCATGCATCGACATGCCACAGAAGTTTTGTTCTCTTTGAATTTGATATTATGTTCAAGAACAGATACAAATTCTGATGACAGAGCAGTTCATTTCTGGGCTGGTTTCTGGGGTTAATATTTAATCTACAATCTAAGGTTGTATAAAAATGAACGGTTAGAAGAAAATTGAAGACGCGTTTATCTTGGCCGCCTGTGTGTTTTTTTTGCAGCCGTAACCGTTTAGCCGTTTGAGGCTGAAACCCGGTGTTCTATTTTACAAAGTTATAAACTTAAACAGACAAACTCTGTGACAATCACGTATTTTGTTAATGATTTATAAATCTTTCATAGATTTCTTCAATATCAACTGTAAACCAATCCATTTCTCATATTTAATAGTAATGTATCAAGGTACTCGCTAGTAAGTATCTATACTAGTGGCAAACTGTGATGCGTATAAAAGAAAGGGTCGTGTACATTGTTCCAAATATCTACAGTTTCTTTTTAAATTTATCCAAAGTACACTACCAACGCCATTTCTTTTTTTTTTCTTTTCTTTCTTTTCTTTTCTTTGCACGTAAAAAAAAAAAAGATTTTTATACAAAAATCATTTAAAGTTCCTTCTTTCTTCTTCTCTTTCTCTTCTTGTAAATTTATTTCATATAAAGTATACAAACATATATTATGTCTGATATTAGTAATCAAATGAACAATTTAAGCGTTCAAGATAATCAAAAGAGTCAATATGTTCCACCTCATTTAAGAAGTAGACAAGGTAATTCAGCCTCATCTTCAGGTGGATTTGGCGACAATCAAGATAATTACAACAATGGTGGCTACAACAACCAAAGAGGTGGCTATAGAAACAATCGTGGTGGATCAGGCTACGGTGGTTCTGGTGGCTACGGTGGTTCTGGTGGCTACGGTGGTAGCGGTGGCTACAACAACAATCCAAGAGGAGGATTTGGTGGTTCTAGACGTGGTGGTGGAGGATTTGGAGGTTCTGATAGAAGAGTCCCAGTAGGTGTTGGTAGATGGGTTGATGGCAAACATGAACCAGCTCCACGTAATTCTCGTGTTGAATTGGAATTATTTGGTGCACCTGAAGAAGCTGCTCAATCTTCTGGTATTAATTTTGATAATTATGATGATATTCCAGTTGAAGTTAGTGGTGAAGGTGTTCCTGAACCTATTAATGCTTTCACTGCTCCTCCATTAGATCCATTATTAGTTGAAACTATTGCGTTAACTAGATTCACCAGACCTACTCCAGTTCAGAAATACTCCGTTCCAATTGTTGCTGGTGGTAGAGATTTAATGGCTTGTGCTCAAACTGGTTCAGGTAAGACTGGTGGGTTTTTATTCCCAGTTTTATCCGAAACTTATGCCAATGGTCCTGCACCAATCCCAGAAACTACTGGTGCTTTTTCATCATATAAGAAATATCCAACTATTTTAGTTATGGCTCCAACTAGAGAATTGGTTTCACAAATTTATGATGAAGCCAAGAAATTCGCTTATAGATCTTGGGTTCGTCCTTGTGTTGTATATGGTGGTGCTGATATTGGTGGACAAATTAGAAACTTGGATAAAGGTTGTGATTTATTAGTTGCCACTCCAGGTCGTCTTAAGGATTTATTAGAAAGAGGTAGAATTTCATTAGCCAATATTAAATATTTGGTTTTAGATGAAGCCGATAGAATGTTAGATATGGGTTTCGAACCACAAATTAGACATATTGTTCAAGAATGTGATATGCCAGATGTTAATGAAAGACAAACTTTGATGTTTTCTGCTACTTTCCCAAGAGATATTCAAATGTTGGCACGTGATTTCTTGAAGGATTATATTTTCCTTTCTGTTGGTAGAGTTGGTTCTACTTCAGAAAATATTACCCAAAAGATTTTATACGTTGAAGATGATGAAAAGAAATCAGTTATTTTAGATTTATTATCTGCTGATGACGCTGGATTAACCATTGTTTTCACCGAAACTAAGAGAATGGCTGATAATTTAGCTGATTACTTGTATGATCAAGGATTCCCAGCTACTGCTATTCATGGTGATAGATCCCAATATGAAAGAGAAAAAGCATTAGCTGCATTCAAAAATGGTGTTGCTCCAATCTTGGTTGCCACTGCTGTTGCTGCTAGAGGTTTGGATATTCCAAATGTTGCCCATGTTATTAATTATGATTTACCTAGTGATATTGATGATTATGTTCATAGAATCGGTCGTACTGGTCGTGCCGGTAACGTTGGTATTGCCACTGCATTCTTCAATAGAAATAATAAGAATATCGTCAAGGGTTTGATTGATTTATTAGCTGAAGCCAATCAAGAAGTTCCAGATTTCTTAACCAAGATTTCTAGAGAAGGTTCTGGTGGGTTTGGAAGTAGTCGTGGTGGTCGTGGTGGCCGTGGTGGTCGTGGTCCATCAAGAGATTTCAGAAGAGGTAGTTCTTCAGGTTGGGGCAATTCCTCGTCATCTGGTGGTTGGGGTAACTCGTCATCATCTGGTGGAGGTTATTCATCCCACACTGGTGGCGCTGGTGCTGGTGGTTACAACAGTAGTAACAGTTCCAACAGTCGTCCAAGTAATGACTTCAGCTCCGGTTACGGTAATCCAACTGCTAACTCTTGGTGGTAAAGAGAGTTTGTCTATTAGAGATTGATTTTTTTGCTACATTTTGCTATTTTGCTTGCATTTTACTATTACTTCGGTATTTATTCTAATTTTTTTATTGTCAATTATTATTATTAACTCCATGTCTCGATCTAACACAAGAAAGAGGAAAGAAAGAAAGATTGTTTTATCCCATATTTTTTTATATCATCATCATCCATCCATTACTTACCTATCCATCATCATCATTCACTATTCCATTGTTCAATATTTAGATTTTTGTTTGTTTATTATTATTTTGTTCAGCTTGATTTATTCCATTTTTGATTCATTCATTCATTGCATTGCATTAATTTATTACTTTATTATTAATTTTTCATCATTTTCAGATTTCTTCAATATGCTTTTATTATTTGTTGATGCTTATTACCATACTACGACAATTTTGCTTGAAAATGAAATGAAAAATGTTATTGGAATACGGTTGATCAGAAACAAAGAAAATCGCAGAACTTATTATTTTTTTTATTATCAGTTTACAGAATTAATGAAGAGAGAATGAAAATCTTCATTCTTGTAATTATTAATTTATTATTATTATTATACTTTTAGATCTTTTTTTGTGGTTTTTTCTTTTTTGGGTGTGTTACTTTATTATATTTGTGTTTTTGTTGTTTTTTTGTTCTTTTGGTTATTATTGGCTTACTTTTTAAAGAAACAAAAAAAGTTAATTAGTCTTATAAATTTAATACGGATTTAGACATTGGGTTATCTTATACAGTTATTATATATATTATGTTTATAGTTTGGTATTTATTAAATTAATATATCAACTTTAACTTTACAAAAGTTTTATGTTTGCCCTGGGCTTCTTTTCTAACATTCTCTGTTGTTGGTGCAAGAAAAATTTTGCAGCTTTTTTTTGTGACGCATTAAAACCGGTCAACTGTGCCTTATTTAATCACGTGATAATACCGTCGGAATAGCGAACGTTTGAAAAACTCAAAAATAAAGAAGTGTGTTAAAGAAAGGCTCATGACTGCAACTAACACATTGGATACATCATAGTTATATTGCATTGTTGAAGTGGTTACTATAAGAATGCCCCTAATAAAACTGAGTATAAACATAAAAAGAATTGTGATAGGACTAATATCACTTTGGCTTGCCTATTACTTGATTTCATCTTTGGCCACAGCTGGACCAAGAATTCATCATCGAACAGAATTCAATTCACCAAAACTACAATTAATAAAAGAATTAGAGAAACATAGCAATTGGAAAAAGTTAGGATTAAACTTCCAACCAAACCAACGAGCATCATTACCCGTCGAATCAACATTACGTCAACAATTATCCTATCAATTTCCATATGATCCTTCAAAACCATATCCAAAAATAATATGGCAAACTTGGAAAGTTCCATTAGATTCTGAAGATTTCCCCAAAAGATATAGAAGATTTCAAGAAACTTGGGAAGAAAACAATCCTAATTATAAACATTTTGTCTTAACTGATGATGAATGTGAATTAATGATTCTGATGTTGTATACAACCGTACCAGATGTCGTAAAAGCCTATAAAAGCATGCCAAAAAGTATTCTCAAAGCTGATTTCTTCAGATATTTAATCTTATTTGCCCGTGGGGGAGTATATTCTGATATTGACACTGCTGGATTAAAACCAATTGATGAATGGGTTTCTAATTCTCCCAAGATTTTGGATAAACCCAATAATTCAGGTTTAGTGGTTGGGATTGAGGCTGATCCAGATAGACCCGATTGGAATGAGTGGTATGCTAGAAGAATCCAGTTTTGTCAATGGACTATTCAGCTGAAAAAGGGCCATCCGATGTTGCGTGAATTAATTGCCAAAATTACTGAAATTACATTGGAAAGAGAAAAGCAAGGGAACTTGAAGCAAATTGTTGGAAAAGATGAAGGTGGGGATATTATGAATTGGACCGGACCCGGGATTTTCACAGATACTGTATTTGAATATATGAATAATATTTTGCAAACCCCTGAAGCTTTCAAAACTAGAAATTATGAAGTTTTGGTTGATTGGAAATTGTTTACCGGGATGCAACAGCCTATTGCAATTGATGATGTGTTGGTTTTGCCTATAACTTCATTCAGTCCTGATGTTATGCAAATGGGATCAATGCCTTCCACAGATCCGATGGCATATGCAAAGCATATGTTCCTGGGCTCATGGAAGACTGATGATAAAGCAATGCCAGAAATGGAAGTGCATCTATAGAGAAATTCGTCAAAGAAATAGCTACATATTCAATTTATAAAGTTTATTAAGATGTACATATTATTATATATTATTCCAATTTGTATGTTCCTACCAGTCTAGCTGTTGGAAAATTTTGTCTCTTCTATTATAAGCCTGTTTACTTTCATTCCTTGTTTTAAATTTATTATAATACACTGTACAATCCAAATTTGTACAATTATTCGCACATACATTGGTCATACCCATCCCTCCAACTACATGATTCGAAAACGTATTATGAACGCAATCTTTACATAAATCCTCAATACCATTGATAGCAGCCTCAATCTCTCGACAATTCATAGCTACATCAGTAACTACTTGTAGTTCATTATTCTTACATGTCAGACAGATTACTGAATTTAAAGTATCCAACTTTTTCCCACAACATAAACATGAATTAACAGTAATGAAACCCGCATCGTTAAGTGTTCCTCCTGCTGGAGGTAATCTTGAAAGAAGCTGGGTAAATTTGGGTAATTCTCGATACCAACCTCTAATATCTGCACCTATCAAATTGAAAATTCTTTCCAATGGAGGAATTAAAACTCTTGTGATATAATATTCATAATCTAGAACTAGTGGATTATCAGTACTATAGGTCTTTATAAGATCTTCAGGGGACATTACTCGATCCTTGATTCTTGTTTTGGAAGAATCCCGAACAACAACATATGCTACTCGTTCTCTATACTGTGGTTCCTGTCTTGCATCTTCTTCAACTTTCTTACTTGCCACTACTGCACCAGGTGGTAAATATCTTTCATCCTTGTATGTCCCATATCTAACTTCTTTAGCAAAACAAAAATCTTGAATTGAAATCTTATTAATTGATATCTTATAAAATTGTTTCAATACATATTCTTTAACTTTTGAAAGATTTTTTGTCTCGAATAATATACGCAATGTCTTTTCCATCATCTTCTGTTGGGCAGGAATACCATCTCTTCTAACAGTTTCAATACCTTTTGCATCAAACTTAGGTACCTTTTGATCCTCATATTCATAAGCATATCCAACATATCTCTTTTTCGTTTGTAATATACATGGATGATAAACCTTTTCGAATTTTAATTTTATAGGATCAGGAAACACACTCGTGATATAATTAGCAATGGTCTTACCTAATTTAAATGCTTCATCTTTAGATTTCCCAGGAAAGTACACGAATAACGAATCTGTATCTCCATATACTACTTTTGCACCATCGAAGTCTTTCCCACCCGCCTCAATTAATTCGATTGATTTACTCAAGATTTCCCTACCAGTGGAAACAATGGCATCTGATATATCTGAATTTGGCATCCGGCCGGAAAATGTAGCTGATGTATATCCATAGGTCACATTTGCGATCAATTTCAATGCTAATTGTCGTGAATTATACAATTTCGTTAATTCGGTATCATCTTTAAATGATTTCATCACTGTCTTAACTTTGATTCTTAGATTAAGGAATTCTTCTAACATTTTGGCAAGGATTGATTTTCGAATATGACTTTTCACAAATATAAATCCATTAGGAGATGTTGTGATAGCATCGTCTTGTTTCAAAAGATCAACTAATCCTGGTGGAATCGATAGGTTTTGAAGATATCCTATTCCATTCTTCCCTGGTTTAAAATTCTGAAGCTTCCCAAGAAGTGTTGAATAACAATAATTATATGCAATCATAATCAGCGGATATAATGATTGGAAATCAAGAACGACTAATGGGGATTTATAGAAATTCGACATTGGTTCCAAAATCAATGGTATACATTCAATAGGTTTCATTTGGTGGACTTGTTGTTTAGATGGTGAATTTAGTAATATGCTTTCTACTTTTGTTAATCTTGCTAAGATGGATTCCACTTTATATTGAGATCCTCTGTAAAAGTTCGAATTAAAATCAATCCCAATTAATCGAGAATGTTCGACATTTCTGGTTATTAATTCCTGCGTTTCGATAATTTTCAATACCAACTCAATTCGCTTGGTATAATATCTCAAGGGGATCAACATTTCATGAAATTTCCCACTGTTTAACCATTGCGATAATTGATAGGTCAGATATTTTGGAATAGAATGATGTAATAGATGATAGACTGTGTTCTCAAGTGAATAACTAGTTAAACTCTTTTCCGATCTCATGACTCTCCACACATTAACCATATGTCGACCATTAATTTGAATATTGGAAGTATGAGTATATCCCCATCTATCACCTAATTTCCCATTACTTTTAAACGTCCCACGACTAAGATCTGATAAAATATTAATGTCAAACACTTTCCTTAATCTTTCAATTAAATAACCCCATGACATTGAAATAATTTCATATCCTGATAAGATATCCGGATCAAATAATTCAACAAGTTGTACTAACCTGGTTACCATTGATAGTTCTTCTTCAAATACTTCAATATGCAACTTATCTAATGAAACAGATAAACCAGATATTATACTCTCAGAGAATGGAGTAGGATTGAACATTAAAACTCCAGATTTATATTCACATTCCTCAAACATACAATTTCCATCTTGATAGGAATAAAAGATTAATCGAATTGGATCACGCAATGGATCCACCTTGAGTTTCGAATTTGGGGGATCGGCATGTATCTCCATATGAAAATTGCATAATGAATTAAATCCATCTGGACGTCTCGTCATCTTTTCTGAATTGTAAGTATATTTGAAATCATGAGATTGAGTTATACCAGGTTCTATTTGTGATCTATATTTGATTCGTTTATTGATTTCCTTCTGCTCTTTCTTCTTGAGCCATTCGGCAACTTCTAGTTTCAGCGGTGGTTCAGGCACGTACTGCCACGTTGCAAACTGACGACTTGTTTGTGCTTGGTTGGCATATAGTTGCTTCTTATATTTATTCAGTAGCGGAATTGATCGAAGCAATTTTGACATTTCAAGATATGGAATCAGCGTTGATTCATCCTTAAGAGGAACCACTATCTTTTTGTTTGCAAATATTAATGGCCTCTGGGGAACATCGGCTTTCTTGTCATAGAACGGATCGGAATAGTTGATCTTTAAGATCCCAGCATTTTCAAAAGCAGAATTACGGTTCTCAGGAAGCAATTCCAGAGGAACTTGAATTTCGTAGGTATTTTGACCAATCAATAGATTCTTGAATACGCCCAAGTTTTCCTCATTGGAGATAGGTGTGGGAGTAAATGAAAATTCAGAAATACTTTCCAATCGTGAAGCTGAACCATTATACTGTCTTTGTGTATTTTGAATCTTTCTTTGCGTCATGGAACGAAGCATATTTTCATCAAATTCGCCAAGCTGGGTTTCATCAATATCTGATATGATTGAATCCTCTTCGATTTCTGTTGGTAATGCTGGTGGTTTGTCTGTTACTTCTTCGGAATCAGAAAATTCAAATTCGGATGACATTGTTTGTTTCCCCATATCTTGCGTGCCGCCAGCAGCAACAGTCTTTGCAACATCCGTCTCTATAGGAGTTGGTGATATTGAAAGACTATTAGTAAAGCTCAATGTATTTGCAGCAGAAGAAGAAATCCCATTCGGATGTTCGCTGTCTTGGGTCGATTCAAATAAACTCTCATATTTCAGCCACCGTAAAAGATCATCACCAAATTTCATTTCTTGAATATTTGCAACTAAGTCCTTTTCATAATCCACAAGTTCAAATGATGTCTTAAAATCAGCAAAAATGTCAATCTCGGCACCTCCATCATTATTTGATTTTCTTTTATTCTTAATATATTTCTTTGAAATTCGATCCCAATCCTTGATATCATTCTTTCCAGTCAACTTAATCACATATTCCAAGAACTCATCCAATTGACCTTGATTCGACCAATCCGTAGTAGTTCCAGTACCGAAATATGATATCTTATCTGATGTAGCCAAGACATCACCATGTAGATTTAGATCAGAATTTCTGGTTTGACATTGATATTTTAAATCGTTATAGATTTGTCGTAACGAAGATAAATAAATCTTAGGATGGCAATTTTCGTCATATTTATAGCCATGTTTCTCCTTTTTTGAAATCGATAACTCGTCTAGATATTTCTTGTATTCTTTTCGTTCTGTAAAATCATCATGTAGATGTCTAGGAGTTAACCAAGATCGATTTATTATACAACTAGTACTTATATCTAATTCCAACACCGATTTTCCGATTCTATTGTACAGCAATGATCCCACTTCGTCAACCTGATTTAGGACATTATCGGGTTTAATGAAACGAGATAAGTATTTGGCTAGTACATCCATTTTCGGTTTTGTATATGCCAGTGATTTGTGAATGTTTGGGATTATGGGAGATCGGAAATAGAGACCATGCTTAGGATTTGCACCTTGTTGAATATGATCTTTATCTATGTGTAGCCACCCACATCCGAATAAATTGAAGTCAGTAAGGAATTGCAACAAGTACGGAATATGAGATTCATAGACGTAATGAGGGATAGGATGACGCGTTACACGTTCATTAGGTTCTTTGCCTATGGTCGTTAGATCCAAAGTCATATCGTGGAATAACTTGGTTAGACGCGTCTTATAGTTTGGTGAAAGTAAAGAAATCTTATAGAACAACTTATAACCTATTTGAAATCCATATATTGGAACCGCCTTGCAAATGGATACGTTAGCAATAAACTTTCGCTTTTGTGGATCAGGCGTATTATCAGATTCTTCTTCGAGATCACTGTCATCTCCATCTTCATCTATTTCATCATCTGCAGGGGTCTTCTTTCGTTTTCCACGTCTTGACTTATATGATTCCCTCAAGGCCAGTTCCAAGTAATTTATTACTTTATTGATATGATCCCTTGAATTCCGTTTCAATGTATCAACATTCTCATGGCAGTCAACATACATATAAGGATAAAAGTTATGAATGTGAATTACCGTATTGAATACCATCAGGGTAGCAGGAGACTGCTGTTGAATTTTCTGCCTTTTATTAGGCAGCAATGATGAAGACTGAGTAACTGAACTACGTTGCTGTTGCGGAGATATTGATATAGATCCATATATTCGGATGATGGGTACTTGTGATACTTGAGTATAGAATTGATCCAATTTAGTTGGAAATGATTGATAAGTATCATAATCATTTATTTGTATTCGTAACGTAGAATCATCTAAAGAAGAAGTGGAAAAGGTATTGTCATATGTCGCACTTGGGCTTGTACGGTGAGTATTATCCGAATCATCCATTAACCATATAATTAAATCATTCTTATGGCAAAGGACGATTAATCCAGAAACAACAAGTTCTGACAACCAATTCCGCATTTATGAACATCTAGAAAGGGCGACATTACGACATGGATGTCGCGATTTGTAAAAGTTGTATTTAACTAGGCCAAATAAGTTAAGAAAAATGATGTTATATCATTTCAAGCTACTGCTAACAAAGTGACGTATAGAAGAGTCCAGATTGTCTGTATCTTTCAATCCCTATAAAAGACTAAATGAACATCGAGAGATTAGTTGAATTGTTTGAAAAGCATACCCATTATGCAACGCGGAAAGACGAGCGGTGAGTGGCGTTAACAGCGTGCGGTACATGTCAACTATTTGTCATGCCTGATCAAATGTTCAAAAAATTGCCAGGTAGCTGGGGAACGAGTCGGTTCCACTGGTAGCGATCGACGGTCTTCAAATTGATCCACTTCGATATAATCGAATTTTATCGTAAAGGGATTTTTGGACATCTTCAATAAATCATCCCATATGGAGTCACAGACAGCAAGCCCAGATAGAGAAGATTCATAAATGTTTCCGGGAAGCCACGGATGACAGAAGTCCTTCATTCTCTCAGCAGGGCTTTGCCTTCCAATGAATCATAGTCTCAATAACGTATATCTATCTTCCTCTAACATATCCCCTATGTGCCGTTCATATAGACGAATCGGTAGCAGTGCCACTTCAAGCAATTTATTTACATGGGGGACCAACGTTATCTTTTGAACATAAATGAGATATAGAGGTGGAGTCATGTAGTATCGCAGGTTGCGAGGTTCAACGATTGTCAGCTCAAGCCACATATCATAGTCCTCGAATATATGTCCCATAACATCGGACACAATCTTAGCTAAAACGGGGCCAGTCCCGTGGATATTATCTTCTAGGCTAGAAACTGGAAACTCGTATTTGTATCGCGAATGTAGAACGTCCAGCGCATAAGGAGCCCGTTCCATTAATTATTTTGAGTTGAATGTAAGACCCATCCTAACAAGACACGGTACATAACTTGCCAACCAAAGTTTTAAAATAGTATCCTTGAACATGTCATAGTGGGAATTATGCAATTGTAATAAAGGCGACGTTTTCTCTACAAACCCGTATGGACGGGCTACAATCAAATCATATACGTGCGAAGGCAGAGGCAAAGTCAAAGGTGCCTCGGGGTATGCGAGTAGCAACATATTGCAACTTTGTGCAATTTGATATTGATCACCCAAATCAAAACTGTTTACATAACGACAGATGACTGTGGCTATCATATGAGGCTCAAGAAAAGTTAGGCCCTCCTCATAATCGATTTTAAAATCATCACGCTTATGGCTAATTAATTCAAACTTTTCGTCGGTGGGCCAGAACCAGTTGAGTCGAGGAGTCACAACCGGCTCACCGTTGGTAGCCTCTAAATACAATACACTTGGTGCGGCAGCCAAGACAAGCACAAACTACGTGTCTTCCCATACCCTAATTGGATTTGTAGCCATCGTTCCTGACCATGACATGGTTCGACATGACATGGTTTTTTGAGAATTCATTCCGAGAACAATCACACATCGCGAAACACCTCCGTACCTAATTTTCATATTCAATTCTCTGGCAGTCAATGATGCATCCAACATACCCATAAGTCTGACCAATATCGCAATATGATTATCTTCTGTGAGGCGGAAAATGCTTATCGCGAGGTTCGATTGCGTGAACATATTTTCATTCCTGGCATTGACAATTAAAGGAGTCTCGTATAAATCTACATACATGGTTCCCATCTTGCGAAAGGTATTATACGTTAGCTGGACTTTATCAGTAATTTCATTGGTGGGCTTCTCAAGCGAACCGCGATCTTCAATTTCATAATGATACCGCAGGGAAATAGTTACAAAGTAACACCCCTTCTCGCCATCAACTGCCACACGTCGTCTCATCCGGCGCAAGTTGTCTGCAATCTCAGATACGAGTGGGAAACCGGACATTGGGAAAATTTGTGACCTTGGCATCTTTATACGGGGCTATTGATATTTTTGTAGGGTCGAAAAGTAGATAAATATACTAACCTGAATATCATTGCCGAGTCATTTTCAGTTTGTGTGGGGTTATTCTCCTCATTTTGTCTCCTGAAGTATCAACAAACTGCATGTCTGCGATATTTTCAATTGCCGTGGAGTCTTAAAACATAGAGTCGATAGGGAACCAGAGTAAGTCTTACTAACTATTAATTAGCTAATACTTCGAATTAAACACACAGTTCTTTGAATGCAAATTGTGGCTTAGAACAAGTTGCAAACTACACGCTCGTATATTTTCATATAGGACTATATAAAAGAGTCAATTTAAGCGGAACATAAATAATATATTTAGCAAATAACGAAACTTTAAGGTTATTAGAACTGTAGTTGCTATTTACAAAGTGATATAAAAAGGGCTTTAGACATTAATTCGGTTCATATTAAAAGCGTGTTTCAATTCAATTCAGTTCCGAATAAATATAGGGGATGGATAATTCAGGAACAAGAAAGTCAACTAATGAAAACCTGACGGAGTCATAGCTTTAGAAGGTAGTTCCGTCACTTTATACCTATCAGTTATTCCTCTGTAGCTGGTTAGTGAGTTTCCGGTTGTTGGGGATTTTAGTCATATTGGGTCCTGACCTCAGCTGGTTTTCTGAGCGCTATATAGCACCGATCGCGGGGGTTCGAGGCTCATCTGATTGATCCACTTTAATTCTGTCAAACTTTATCGTGAAGGGATTCTTGCAAATAGTGTGTAAATCATCCTCCAATATGGTTTCACAAGCAGAAAAGTTAGAGATCTTTCCAGTAAAAATCAACGGATGACAGAAATGGGCTATTCTTTCGTTAGGGCCTTGTCTTCCAATGAACCCGAGTATTAGCAACATACACCTTTTTTCGTCCGATATATCCCTAAAGTCGCCCGAATAACGTTCAATTAAGAGTGGTGCCTCCTTAAGTAATTGATTTATCCACGAAATCAAATTTATTTTTTGAACATACATGAGATATAACGGGGGGGGTCATATAATAAGGCAGCTTGGACGGTTCATCAATTTTCTCCTCGAGCCATGACTCATAAGATTTAAATATATCTTCTTTAACGTCTGAAATGATCTTACCGATCACGGGTCCAGTTCCATGCAGATTGTCCTTTAAGAAGTCAGGGATATGAACAAACTCTGGAGGATAGACTGAGTGCGAAAATGCATGATAATATATTGATCGGCTTGAATTAAATGTAAACCCCATCCTAAGAAGATGAGGTACATAAGATGCCAACCAAACCTTCACAATAGTAAATTTAAACATGTCGCAATAGTAATGATACGGTTGTAATGCAGGAGATACATAGTGAATATATCCAATCCAATCATGTATATGATACGGTCGAGGTAAACTCAAAGGTGCCTCCGGGTACGCAAGAAGCAACATATAATAACTTTCTGCGATTTGATATTGAGTGGCCAATTGAAGGCTTTGAACGTATTCGACAATTGTTTCAGCTACGGTCTGGGGCTCAAGGTAGTTTAAACAGGCAGCGTAATTAATGTCGAAATCATCAGAGCTATCGGATATCAATGTAAATTGCACATCAGATGACCAGCCCCAGTTTATTCCTGACGTGAACACCTTTTTACCGTCTTGGCCAGCTAAATATAATAGACCTTGCGCACCAGCCAAAGCAAGCACGGATTGGGCACCTTTCATACGAAGTAGCTTAATCGTATTAATATTCTCAATTTCATAACTTTCCATGCCCCTCTTAGAGTTAAGTCCTAAAACGGTTACACCATCCAGAGAGCCCTCATATTTAATTTTCATATTCAATTCTTGGGCAGTCAATGAGGCATCCAAAATGCCAAGAAGTCTAACCAAAAACGCAATGTGGCTATCTTCTGTGAGAAAGAATTCATTTAGCATCGGGTTCAATCTTGCGTACTGTTTTTGAGACATGTACCTTTTCTTACCATTGACAATTGTAGGAGTCTCGAAAGCATGGAGGTTTTGCATGTCGCCTGGCCCACGAATGGTATTATATGTTAACTGGATTTTATCAGTAATTTCATTTGTTGGATTATCTAGCAGGATATTTTCTTTCATAACATAACGATAACGCAGCGAAATGGTGATAAAGTGACACCCATTCTTCTCCTCGACTGCTAAACGGCGATACAAACCATGAAAATTGTCTAAGATCTCAGCTACCACCTGGAAATCAGACATTGGGCTGTAATTTTCAAACCCTATATGCTTATCAATGATTGCTGGTGGTAACTTACCTGCCTGATCATTGACACCAGAGTTGACAGCGCCGATCACAAAGTACGGAGGGATAGCCTCGGATCCCACAAGCTTCCAGTCTGCCCAACTCCCCAGGGGGGGTTCAAGGGTGAAGTGCGAAACTCTTCCAACGGTTAAAAAGCCCAAAGTTTTATTCTTGTGCAAAATCTGAATTATATAGCCACCGCCAGATTTGGCATATGGACGTAATGAATAATGTGATTGGAAAAAGTGAGCCGAAACTACTAATGTATTCTGAGGTGCTCTTATATACTTAGGGATGATAGCTTTGCCAGGGAATACCCCTGCAGCAAGAGGAATCCAGCAATTATTAGGTCCCGGGACATAAATTGGGGAAAACTCCGTGATGTATGTTCTAAAACAAGGATCCCCGATAAATGTAGCATTCCTTTTATTGAGAGCAACAGATCTCCAGCTTACTGAAACTGGGATGTCACCTTTTGATTTTGACATAGTGGTCTTAATGGAATGATTGTCTCGGTTTGGTTATTCTTTGCGTGAGTATCTCTGGAGGGGGTTTGGGGCGTGGGG